AGTCACATTGACACTGGTGCCAAGAACATCTGGAAACCAGTAAACATAATAGATGATCCGGAACAATCTCACATAGATACAGCCAACTGATTGTTGACAACATTACCAATTACATATAGTGAATTCAAGATTGCTCTGTAATAAATTTTGTTTGTAAAACTGCATTGCCACTCGTAGAAGACTTGAAATAGTTCCCTGTCATTCCATTAACATCCTCAACTTTAGAGCCTCAAATATGAAACCATCAGCTAGATGCATAAGGGAAACAGTTGAAGCAACAGACAGAGGTAATGCTTTTGTAAGTAGTAGTGAAATAGCTTAAGAAAGAATAGCCTGGTCTTTGGCTCTGTTTTAGATTCTGGTTTCCATATCCAGAACATTAAAGAACTGAGCCAGGCATGGAGGCTCATGACTGTAGTGCAAGGGGCTCACATGGCTGAGATTGGGATCACAGCTCACACACAGCCCAGGCACAATTTTCATAAGACCCTCTTAATCAATAGCTAGTTATGATGCTACATGCTTTGTATTCAAGCTATTTTTGTGTGTGTGCTGACGAAGATGGCTGAGATCAGGAGGATTGAGACTCCAAGCCAGCTCAGGCTAAAAACAATATCCTGAGATTCTGTGTAAATAGAAGAAGCTGGATATTGAGGCATATGCCTGTCATTCCAGCTGTGGCAGCAAGCATCAATAGAAAGACATGGGCATATAGCAAAAGGAAGATACTATCACAAAAATATTCAGTGGAAAGAATAGCTGGAGTTAGGGCTCATTCTATAGTAACTGCCTATCATGGTTCTCAAGAAAGCATTGACAAATGGGTGTGTACCAGACTGAAAGAATCTGCACAGTTCACAAAGGAGCTGAGAGAAATCACTCAGGCCCTGTGTTCAAGCCATAATACTGGCACAAAATGATCAACAAAAATAAATGGTGGGAATGAAATACAGATCATGTCTTGTGGTGGAGACAGAAGGACATGGAGATGTAACAGCTTCCACATGATCAACTTACTTAATATATGTTTATGAATATGAGATAATGAGATTTGTAGAAATCTTTTTAAAAAGGATTGGTGTTGAAGGATGTTATTTGTTGTGTGTCTAAAAAAGGTACCTTGTATACATACATGGAAATATCAAATTACTTTAAAAAACTACTTTTTTCTATTCAGTTTTTAAATTTTAATTATCTTTATATGATTGTACAGTAGAGTAGCCTTTTAACAAAACAGGTTATGAAGACCATATATTTCTTGATCAATGTCACCCTTTCAACAATTCACTCATCCCTCCCTATTCACCTCTTCCATCTTTTCATTTTGTAGGATATATATTGGATATGTGACTACATTCTCCTCTTCATTTGTCCACACCTTTCCCCTGATTTGATCCCACCTTTTTGGAGTACATGTTTCCTGGTGTTTTATTTTGCAGAAATTTGGCTTTGCCTTTGTAGGGAATTACATTATTTGAATTCTCCTTTGAATCTACTGTATTTCAGTTAATACATTTGAATATACTTGCATACCATCCAGGCTTTTACTTTATAAACTATTTCTAGCTTCCATACATAAAGGAAAATATTCATCCTTTATTTCTCTGAGCCTGACTTACTTTACGTAGTATATGTTTTTTCCAGTTTTTCCATCTCATTAGAAATGGTACATCATTCATTCTTATGGATAAACAAAAACATATTGTGTATGTAGACCACATTCTTGCTTACTTTATCCATTGAAGGGCATCTGAGGAGATTCTAGACCTTGGTTATAATGAATAAGAATTCAATGAACATTGTGCTCATAGCGTAATTATATCCCAGTTAGTAATCTATTGGGTAAATGCCCAAGAATAGAATTGCTAAATAGTAGGGTAGTTCTATGTTGTGGTTCATAGGGTTTCAACTCAGGGTTTTGGGAGTGTCCATGAGCTTTTTTTTTTATTTATAATACTGTATGGAGGGGTTACAATTATATGGACAAGATAATGAGTACATTTCTTATCAAGCATTGTTGCCTCCTCCTTTGTTTCCGCTTTTCATCTGTTCTCATCTCCCACCTCCTCTCCCCAAATCCCCCTCCCAGCCAAAGTGGTAAAGTTGGTTTTTCAACATAACAACTTGTACATCTCATTGTTGCAATGGCACCTGTATCCCTATTTAAATGATTTGTTTTTTCCCTTCCCATCCACAAATTATACAAACATCAAATACAGTGAAATCAGGGGTTATACCATGGGGAAGGGACATGCAAAGCAACAAAGAAATCATCTTATAAATATGTTAGAAACAATCCCATGAAAGAAAAAAAAACATTTGAATAATTATCTTGGAGTTAATTTCACCTAACATCATCTTATCTGACCTTTTCTACTTGTTTCAGACATATACTAGTTATTGCAAATAAACTTTAAAAACCTGAAAAAGGAAATCAAAACAGAACTTAGAAAGTGGAATAACCTCCCATGCTCCTGGATTGGAAAGATCAACATCATGGAAATGGCAATATTTCCCAAGGCTATCTACAAATTCAATGTGATACCTATCAATATTCCAACCTCATTCTTCAAGGAAATAGAAGAGGCAATCCAAAAATTTATATGGAACAATAAAAGACCCCAAATAGCAAAAATGATCCTTAAGAGAAAGAACAGGGCTGAAGGAATATCAATACCAAATTTCAAACTCTACTACAAAGCCATAATAATCAAAACAGCTTGGTACTGGCACAAGAACAGACTTTAGGACCAATGGAATAGAATTGAAAACCCAGAAATGAATCTACAGACCTATAGCCAACTAAACTTCGATAAGGGAGCTAAAATAATAGAATGGAAGAAAGACAGCTTCTTCAGTAAATGGTGCTGGCAAAATTGGTTAACTACTTGTAGAAAACTAAAGCTAGATCCTTATATATCACCCTGCACCAGAATCAACTCCAAATGGATCAAAGACCTCAGAGTCAAAGCAGACACCCTGAAAACATTACAGGACAGAATAGGAGAAACCCTAGGTCTCCTTGGCACAGGCAGAAATTTTTTTACTAGAGACCCAGAAACACAACAAATACAAGAAAGGTTGGACAAATGGGATTGCATGAAATTGCAGAGCTTCTGCATGGCAAAGGACATAGCTAGCAAGATCAATAGAAAGCCTACGGACTGGAAGAAGATCTTCCTTAGCCATACAACAGACAAGAGTCTCATATCTAAAATATACCTTGAACTCAAAAAATTAAATCTCCCAACAACAAATCCTCAAAGAAACAACTGCCCAATAAATAATTGGGGTAAAGACTTAAAGAGAAATTTCTCTGAAGAGGAAAGGATAGCCAATAGATACATGAAGAAATGCTCAACCTCCCTAGCCATAAAAGAAATGCAAATCAAAACAACATTGAATTACCACCTGACCCCAGTTAGACTGGCTATAATAAAGTACTTCCTGAAGTTTTTTGCTCAAAGCTACTGCTCTAGAAAGTTTGGCCAGCATACTCCTGGTTTGCTAATGGTTCATTGGAGATAAGAATCTCTTGGACTTTCCTGTCTGGGCTGGCTTTAAACCATGATGCTCAAATCTCAGCCTCCTGAGTAGCTAGGATTTCAAGAATGAGTCACCCACCAATGAGTGGCTATGTTTAATTTTTTGAGGAATGATAATAATTGAGGAATAGTGGTTTTTGAGGTACTCAAATTTATTATATTTTCTTGTTGTTGTTTGTACTGTGGATCTGCTGATTTAATTTCCTCCCACCAGAGACCAGACATTTGCTTCCTTCCATTCATAAGACCTTTATACTCTATGCTATCACTTCAGGGGAGCACTATGTTTAGTCTTTTGAGGAATCTCCATACTGCTTTCCAGAGTGGTTTCACAAGTTTACATTCCCACCAGCAGTGTAGTAGCATTCCCTTTTGGCAAGACCCACAAATTCTGTGTGCTCTACCCATTCACACAAGAGCAGCAATCCCAACAATGATAAATATACAGCTCCTTTCTGTCAGAAGCAGCTCCTGTGTTTATCCTAGCATTTAGGGCTCTCACTTCCCCTCTTCACAGCCACACATCTGATTTTTTCCCCAGGCTTCTTGGAAAACTGACAAGTCTATTGGAGCTCAGGAGGTAAGTGACAATGTATAGTACTCAGAATCTGGGTGCCTTAAATTATTTAGTCTCACTTTCAGAGTTCTACCCCATACAATCCCAATTTTTCTGTCCTTTTACGGTAAGGCTTATATAAACATGCAGTATAAAAATACATGCTTTTCAACCTCAAATTGGTTTGCAGTGATTCAGTTATCATTATTTCAGGGTTTCATCAGGTCCTTTGTTATCTAAACTAAGTAGCCTAGTTGGGGACATTATCTAAATTTCAGATCTAGGTAAAATAAGATTGTACCTCACCCCAGTTAGAATTGCCATTATCAAGAAAACACATAATAATAGATGCTGGCAGGGATGTGGCCAAAAGGGCATGCTACTACAGTCTTGATGAGAATATAAATTTGTCCAACTACTCTGGAAAGCAGTATGGAGGCTCCTCAAAAGGCTAAACATAGAACTCCCCTATGATACAGCAACCCCACTCCTATACACTTACCCAAATGACCACAAACAAGGCCACACTAACACCACCAACACAATCATGTTGATTGCAGCATTGTTTACGATAGCTGAGATTTTCTTAAAAATTAGCCTGTCCCTGACCTACTTCTATTTACTCCTCAGCTTTCCAGATTGTACACTCAAACATATTTACTACACTTTGAACCCTAGCTGCAAACTCTTCCTCAGAAAATCCTGAACAACTAAATTGTGTTGGGAGTATGAAAGTCATGTGTGAACTGTCAAAGATATGCCATGGTTAAATCAAATTAAAAGGTTCTTCAACCATTACATTAGGTTATTATTTTTTAAAATTTAGTGACTGGATATTCAGGCATTCTGAGTCACCATAAATTTTGTTCTAGAAACCCAAATCCAAAACAAATGACACATCATTGAAGAGAAGCTATCCTATCCATGAGTTTCCTCAAGGCTTCCTTCATGTCTTTGTTCTTCAGGCTGTAGATCAAGGGGTTCATCATTTGAGGGACCACAGTGTACATCACTGAAGCCACCGCCATCCTCTGTGGGGAGTCAGTAACCACAGAGCTGACATACACCACCAAACACTTCCCATAGAACAAGGAGACCATGCACAGGTGAAAGCCACAGATAGAAAATGCTTTATACTTTCCTACTGCTGATGACATTTTTGAGATAGGAGAAGCATGTGAGTATAAGCAAATAGGATCCCAGAAAGTGGAACACCCTCAAACAGACAAGCTTCACCATATATAATCATGTGATCAATGAACGTATCAGAACAGGCGAGTTTGATGTGCTGAGCAAGTTCACAGAAGAAGTGGGATATTCTTTATTTTGGTACATTTTTTATTGTAAAAATGCTTTACAGAGTGGTTAAAGTTACATGAGCAAGGTAATGAGACATTTCCTATTGAGCACTGTTGCCTCCTCCTTTATTTTACCCCTACCATCCCTTTCCTTCCACAACTAGCCACCCCTCCCGCTGAAGTTGTAAAGCTAGTTTTCAACATAGTATTTTGTACATCTCACTGTTACAATGAGTCAACTTGTATCCTTATTTAAGCATTTTGTTTTTACCCTTCCCCTCCCCAAATTAGAGAATTATATATACCAGGGCACTGACATCAAATACAGTGAAAACAGGGGTTATACATATTTGTATGTTCCTACATACAAATCAACAAAAAAAATCACATGGTACATTATAAATATGTTAGAAACAATAGCAAGAAAGAAAAAAAGATATTTGTGTCCCTATCTTGGGGTTCATTTCGTTTAGCATTATCTTATATGGACATCTGTACATAGCTTGTCCTACACATGTACCAGTTATTGCAAATAAGGGAAACCATGGGACCCTCTATTTCCACCACAAGACATGACCTGTATTTCATTCCCACTATTCATTTTTGTTGATCATTTTGTGCCAGTATTATGGCTTGAACTCAGGGCCTGAGTGGTATCCCTCAACTCCTTTGTGGACTGTGCAGATTCTTTCAATCTGATACATACCCATTTGTCAATGCTTTCTTGAGGACCATGATAGGCAGTTACTATAGAATGAACCCTAATTCCAGCTGTTCTTTCCACTGAATATTTTTGCAATAGTATCTTGCTTTTGTTATATGACAGAAATGGAGCTGGGGCTCAAGTGGTGAATTGAAAAGGTAAAAGCATAGTACCTAGGTCCTGAGTTCAAATCCCAGAGCTAGCTTGTGCATGCATGCTCTCTCTCTCTCTCTCTCTCTCTCTCTCTCTCTCTCTCTCTCTCTCTCTCTCTCTCTCCCTCTCTCTCTCTCACACACACACACACACACACACACACACACAAGGTAAGTGCTCCACTTGATGGAGAGTTATGTGATCAGGAGAATGTGAACTGTGTGCCCATCTGTGCAAAATTTATTGAAAACTATTGAATGACATGAAGTTGACAGGAGAGACACTGAGAACACTTTATTCCTCTTTACTATGGACTCTACTCTCCTCTAGGTTGAGAGTTTCATACAGTGTCCACCTTCATTTCCAGAGGATTAACCAAGTAGCTTTCTGTGCCTTACAATGATTTCAAGAAAATGATACTAAATATCTTACCTGAATATTGATAAAGTGGATTTTTTGATCCTCAGGAGTTATAAACAGATTGAATGAGTGAGTGCCTTACTGGAGAAGAAGAACCATCTCTGGGTAGGAGACTATGCTTTGTTTCCTACCTAGGGCAGGGGTGTCAAAGAAAGTGACATGATACTTAGTGTACTTACTAAAATACCCATGAGCTTGAATATCCAAAGCTCCTCATTACATCAGCTATTCTTCTACCAGCCTAGTCCCAAGAGCGCATTTCCTAAAGGACCAAACTGGAGATAGAAACCAGGATGGCCAATTTCCTGTCCCTCGAGGACCCATGTACATAATGCAATTTGCTCCATGATTTTCTGCTAATCTCTGTGTGTGTGTCTCTGTCTCTCTTTCTGTCTCTGTCTGCCTCTCTGTCTCTGTCTCTGTCTGTCTCTCTGTCTCTCTGTCTGTCTCTGTCTGTCTCTCTGTCTGTCTGTCTGTCTCTTTCTGTCTCTCTGTCTCTTTCTGTCTCTCTGTCTCTTTCTGTCTCTCTGTCTCTCTGTCTGTCTGTCTCTCTCTCTCTCTCTCTTTCTCTCTCTCTCTCTCTCTCTGTACCAGGACTAGGGATTGAACTCAAGGGCTTATACTCTTGCTTTTTGCTCAAGGCTAGCACTCTACCACTTGAACCCATAGCTCCACTTCTGGCTTTTTGCTGGTTAATTGTAGATAAGGTCTCATGACCTTTTCTGTCCTGGCTGGTTTTGAACTATAGCCCGCAAGAGCTCAGCCTCCTAAGTAACTAGGTTTATAGGCATGCACCACTGGCACCTAGTCTTTCATATTTCTTTTCTAATTTCTACTTCATACACCTTGCTCACAACACACATGACTTCCATTATAACTTTTAGTGTTCCATTTAAATCACAAACTAAGTCATTTCTGTCTATTTCACGATATGTAGGATCTTAGGACTTATGATAGGTTTTAAAATATGTTCTACCCATAATGTTGTAATAGAACTATAAGTAGCAGGTTAATAGTAGTATAAGATCACAAATACCCATGACTTTTCTTTTAAGGTATGTAATTGTACAAAATAATAGACTTCATTATGACATTCTGATAGATGTGGATAATGTACTTTAAATATATTTACTCTATACTAGTGTCTTAGGCCTTCTCTACTCTTCCAAAATAGTCTCCTTTCTGCTTTTCTCTATTGTGAAAGAATCTACAGTTTTCATATGAGAAGACACATGATATTTGTCTTGACAAGTCTGGTTTATTTCATTTAACATAATCATTTTTGTCCTTGAAGACACGGGAATAGGTAATGTATTTCTGAATATACTATGGTTGCTCTAAAAGTAAGAGTAAGAACTAACAAATGAAAATACATTGACTTTTTAAACTTCTGCAGAGAAAAAAACTTTTGGCATCAAGATCTAACCTACAGAGTAGAACATTTTTCCAGATATTTATTAGATAAAAGATTAATATCCAGACTAACATAAAATCAGCTTCAAAAATTAAACCCCCAAAACACAAACAACCCAATTAATAAATGGGCAAATAAATAAACTGAAGGCATAGTTTTGAAACAAATATAAATAGTGAAAAGATATTTGAAGAAATGTTAAGCATCTTTAGCTTAAAAAATAAAAACCAAAAGGCAGATGAAAATTACACTGAGCTGAGTGCTGGTGGCTCAGAGCTATAATCCTACCTACTCAGGAGGCTGAGATCTCAGGATGGCAATTGTAATACTATTATCTCAAACTGGCCACCAAAAAGCCAGAGTGGAACTGTGGCTCAAGTGGTAGAGAAATAGCCTTGAGAAAAAAAAACTCACAGGAACAGCACCCAGATACTCTTTTGTTCTGTCTGTATGTGAGTATCTAGAATCCGGTATCCTTTATCATATCATAGTCTATTTTAGATCTAATTTCTGCATATGCGACAGATCATGCACCATTTGTCTCTCTGAGTTTGGCTTACCTCACTTAACATGATTTTTTCTAGTTCCACTGTTTCCCACAAATGACATCATTTTATTCATTCTAATAGCTGTGCAAAACTCCATTGTGTAGGTACCACATTTTTTTAAATCTACCCATTCAATCCCTATTGTGAGTTATCTAGGCTGTTTCCATGTCTTGGTTATTGTGAATAGTGTGGCAATGAACATGGATTTGCAGGTGTTCTTATCATATCCTGGCTCATGATGTTCAAGGTAGATGGCCGGGAATGATATGGCTTGGTTGTAGGGAAGATCTCCTTTTTGTTTTTTGAGGAACATCCAGACTACTGTCCAAAGTGGTTGTAGTACTTTACATTCCCACCATCAGTGCAGTGGGGATCTTTATTCCCCCACATCCTGACCAACATTTGTTGTTGTTCAAATTCACCATGTTGGCCAATCTAACTGGCGTGAGATGGAATCTCAGAATCGTTTTTAATCTGCATCTGCTTTATGGCCAGGGATGATGAACTATTTGTCATGCATTTCTTCGCCATTCTCATCTCTTCTTCTGAAAAGTTTCCTTAACTCCCTTGGCCATTTAGTGATTGGTTTGTTACATTTGGGAGGGGTTAGTTTCTTTAAAAAATTAGAACAGGTTGAGCTACTTGAGGGTAAGACTCTAAAGAAGAGATCAGCTCTTTCTAAGTTATTAGGGGTGTGTGTGTGTGTGTATGTGTGTGCAGATCTGGGATAAAAGTCGGGACATGAGGAAAAGGAATCTTGATTGTTTCCACTAGTGGGGTAATTCTACCAACAACATCTCAATGTGTCAGCTTTGTTTATTCTCCTTCAGATGGAACCTGATGGAATCACTACTATCTTATAGAAAGGTTCCTTGTTGACCAAAACCTCACTATACCTGTCCATAGCTATATAGAGATTACATGACTGTATGTGCACTGATTTAATGATGTCAGAATCAGAGATGAATACACAAGACTTTGCCAAAATTGAATAGATGATCAAAATACACAGAGCTCTAGTCCGGTGTAAGTAGCATTATACTCAAGGCATCAGATTCTGTGATTCTAATCAGTAACTATTCCACTTCCAGTTTTCTACATTCCAAGGAATTGGCCAGGTCTTCTGTATCATTTGTTATTTATTTATTCCTGACATAAGCAGTGTCAACACCTGCCACACCAATGGAAGGAGATGATTCTAGAAGTGAGTTTCTTCAGAGCTCCCACCATGTCCTTGTTCCTCAGGCTGTAGATAAAGGGGTTCATCATCGGGGTCACCACAGTGTACATGACTGAGGCAATGGCACTCTTGCTGTCTGAGTGAGTACCTGCAGAACTGAAGTACACCCTGAAACCAGTCACATAGAACAAAGAGACAACTATTATGTGCGACACACAGATCGAGAATACTTTATGCTTTCCTCCAGCTGAGGGGATTTTCAGGACAGAAGAGATTATTTGAATGTAAGAGAAAACTATCCCAGAGAGTGGAATAACACCCAAAAGACTCGTCACCAAATATACCAAAGTGTTATTGATAAGAGTGTCAGAACAGGCAAGTTTGAGGATATGAGCCAACTCGCAGAAAAAGTGAGGGATTTCCAGATGGGTGCAGAAAGACAACAGAAGTGCCATCAAAGTATGGAGGAGGGCGTCGAGAAAACTAATGAGAAAGGATAGAGCAACCAGCATCCCACAGAATTTAGGGTTCATGATAACATTGTACCTCAGGGGATGACAGATGGCCACAAACCGATCATATGCCATCATGACCAGAATTCCATTTTCCAAGCCAGCAAAAAGCAGGACAAAGCAGATTTGCGTGAGACAGCCCAGGTAACTGATGGATTTGCTCTGAGCCTGGAGGTTGACCAGCATCTTGGGGACAGTGGTGGAGATGAAGCAGATGTCAATGAAGGAGAGGTTGGAGATGAAGAAGTACATGGGAGTGTGGAGGTGAGGGTCATAGCTGATGGCCAGGATGATGAGCAGATTTCCAAGCACGGTGATCAGGTAGATGGACAGGAACAGAACAAAGAGGATAGGCTGCAGGTCTAGATCTCCTGAGAGACCCAGGAGGAAAAATTCTTCAGCATCTGAGATGTTTCTTGGTTTCATGTTGTTGATGGGGCTAAGAGAAAATGAAAGGACACATGTTATAAAACAAATGAGGGACAGAAATTTTTCTCTTGGTACTCTTTTTTTTCCCTTTTGCTTGCCCACATCTTTCCCTTTTTTATTAACAACTCTCGGGTCTTAATGCTTAACATAGTAAATGTAAACATAAATATAAAATGTAAACATAAATATACCTCAATGAGTTCTGGATGTATGTAATTTAACAGAACTAATACTCAAAGGGAAGAGCAGTCTGATCATGATAACCACTGTGGCAGGAAACATGAAAACTTAAACAGCCCTTAAAATAAATAGAAATTATTGTGTTTTTAATGTTGTGTGTCAGGCATCCTGAAAATGACAGATGAGTGGAAAAGAAGGGGTTTCACATCCACCAGCAGACATGTCCAAATTTATATTCAAATATTTGGGTGTAATTTCTCTTAAAAGAAAAAAAAAGAACTAATACAGTGCAGATCACTGTTGTGGCCCTCTTTCAATCTTGACCTTCCTTCTTGAAGGGATAACTATGGCAATGGACTTCACAGGTATTCTGAAACATTGTTCAATAACATGACACAGCCATCAGCATCTTATGCCAACTTGCACATATATAATTATATATTAATAATATATATATGGAATTGAATATTAATGATATAATATATAATTATGTGATATGTAATATATCATGTAATATATAATATATAGTATGTCATATATAATAAATTGTCATACAATGTCATATATAAGTTATGTATTGTATGATAATATAGTATATACTATATAATAAATTGTATTATATTATATATAATATTATATTAGAAATAATACTGTATACATGACATATACAAAGTGTATATTATAACTCTATGTTATATATTATGTATAATCTAGTTACATATAGTGTATAATATATAAGATACAATATACAGATATTATATATTAGATGTAGCATAATTCATCATTATATATGTTATATAATATTATATATAGTTATACATGAGATATAAAATGTATAATATTTAATTCTGCTGCTGAATTAAAGCAGTGCATTATGTTATATATGATACATATTATACAGTTTGTCTAAACACTGCTTCCTATATTACTCAATATTATTTTAAGTAGCCTAATATTCATTGTCAGAGACAGCCCACACCAGTGGTAATCTGTATTTGCTAAAAATAGTTTTTTATGATGTCATTGCCTGCACATTACTGTCTGCAAGTAAGCATGGAGAATTGTTAGCAAATTCCAACCAGTGATGATGGCTCCTGATGAGAGGATCAAAAATAGAATAAAAAGAGGACTTTAAGAGCAGTGTATTATTTCAATTTTTTTTCTTAATTTCTAAGGGCGCTAGGTGCCAGTGGAACCTGTAATCATAGCTACTTGGGAGACAAAGATCTAAGATTGCGGTTCAAACAAATCCAGCCCAGGCAGGAAAATCTGTGAGATTCTTATCCTCAAAGAACAACCAAAAAGCTAGAAGTGGTGCTGTGGTTTAAGTGGTAGAATGTGAGCCTTGAACAAAACAACCACCATGAAAAAAACCCTAAAGTGCAGTAGCCAGGTTTTGAGTTCAAACCCTAGTACCAGAAACCAGCATGTATGCACACACATGTGCACACACACACACACAAATATATATGTATGCACACATATGTGGCTAATGGAAAAATGTAATACAGAGAAGTGATTTCATAATTGCATATTTGAATGCTCCCTTCACTTTTCAGTTGGTTAAAGTATTTCCTAATAGCTTGCTGTGCAATTTTAAGAGACACACGACCAAAATCTACTGTGTAGCTCCACAAAGACTCACCCTCCTCAAATGGAGTCTGCTCAGCCAGGAACTTCTCTCTGGTTGCACAGCAAGGAAACTATATGTGTCAACAAGACTGCAATCTGTATTGCAAAAATTCTCCTGTTGCTCACTAGGTAGAAGTTCTAAATATATGTGGTAGTAGGTTTGCTAATTGTCCTAATTGTATGCACAGTGAGTGAGTACATGGTTTAGTGGGCATGGTGATGTATGCCTATAATCCCAGAACTCAGAAAGCTGAGAAAGACGATTGAGAATTCAGAATCAGCAGGGGTTGTGTCACATGACCCTGTTTCACAAATACTTTATACATCTACCATAAGTGTATCTAAATGTGCACACACAAAATCCTAGCATCTTTATATCCTATCTTACTTTCATCTATTTATCTATCTATCTATTATCTGTCTATTCTATCATCTATCTAATAGCTATTCTGTCATCCATCTATACTAACTTTGTATATGTCTATCATCTATTTATATATCTATCATTTATCTATTATCTAACTGTGTCTAGTCCATTAACCATCTAGCAATATATTGAACTAAGAAGATTGGGTCTAAGCAAAAGGCCTTGATAACAGATGGCATTCTTTAGTTTATAAATGTGTTTTGAGTTGGTAAGTTCCAGAAAAGTTTTACTCTCCTTGGATGATTGGTTTTTGATTTCCATTGATTGCATCTACATTTGATTTGTTTTGGCTTATATTTAACATTTTTGTTGAATTTGAGTGTTCACTGGTTTTTTATTTACTTTGCTTGTGTTCACATCTGATTTGCTATCTACTTTGTTAAGATTAAGTCCATGCACCTTGTGTGGTTTGGGGGCTATATAAGCACTGTTAGTTGTATTTAGGGAGGTAGGACTTTGTGACAGGAGCCCCCTGCTGCCTGATAGCACTCCCAAAAGACTCTAAATCCAGTCTTTTAAGTGGTAGTTTCTCTGTTCTCACAACTGGATCTACCATGAAACATTATCATCAGTAATTCTCTCATTTATCCATCTATCTGCATCTTTCTGACTAGAGTTCTTTAAGGGAAAATAAATAATTAATGAAGTTAATACCAGAAATTAACTTAACTTAAAAGGCTAACTTCACTTCAATTTCTCCACACCTAAAGAAGTAAAACAGGCAAAGAATTTCTAAATGTTTCCAGAAGGGTCTAATTCATACTCAGGAGGAAAATGACTCTTTAGGTGCTTGGAAGATAGAGCAACAATGTGACTATGGAGAGAGGTGACTGAAAAGAGGAAGGACTTCAGTAAGAACAGGATTACAAATTAGTTCAGAGACTTGGTTTTACCCAAGACAAATCTCTGACCTCGTGGATGATCTTGAAAACAGAAAGAAAATGAGAGGCAGGGAAATACAGAGAGGGAGAAAGGAGTATGAAAAGGAAGGAAGAGGGAGGAGGAGTGGGAAAGAGGAGGAGGGAGAAGGAGAAGGAGGAGAGGAAGGAGAGGGAGGAGGGGGAGGAGCTGCCACCACCAGGTGCTAATCTGTAATTCCAACTACTCAGGAGGCTGAAAACTGAGGTTGGCAGTTCAAAGCCCAGGAATGTCCATGAGACTGTTATCTCTAATGAACCACTAGAAAGCCAGAAGTGGTTCAAAGTGGTAGAGCACTAGCCTTTAGTGAAAAAACTCAGAAATAGAGTCCAGGCTCTTACTTCAAGCCCAAAGATCAATATAACTAAATAAATAGGGAAAAAACCCTTTAATTCCTTATAGTATTTGTTGGGGGAGAACATCAGATTACCTTGAATCCAGGAGTGAAGAATTTACTTTTTTTACTGGATTTTGAGGAGGAAGGTGGTGACTGCATCTGTAGGAAGGGCAAGTGGGCTGGTGAGGTAACAAGCATTTAACATGTAGCATTTATCGAGTCTGGATTTTTGACCTGAGCATTGATTTGGAGTAAGGCAGGTTCAGTCCATTATCTGCAGTGTCTGGGGCCCTGGGGTTCAATTATCAGCCCTCTTTGTTAGTCATAGGCTGGTTGCCATTTCTCTCCCAAGGGCAACACAAGTCATTAAATGGCATAGGTCACGGAAGGGGAAAAAGTCCTGGGTGACTGTGTTTCTAACCCTGAAAAGCCAGAGATATTTCCTTCTACACAATATTCTTTTCCTCTTCTCTCTCATTCTTGTATCCGGGGGTCTTATCTCAAGGGAATCTAATGACAAAATCCCTTCTCATTCTGAGTGATATATTAGTATGAGAGAGCTAGAGCACACAGGCCCATAAGATCATGCTAATTATCTTACCAGAGTCTCAGGGAGGTAGAGAGGTTATGATGGCTTCAAATCCACAGAGTCTCCATTTTGGAATTTTCATTCATTAAATTCCTAAGTGAAGCTGTAGCTTTTATAGAAGAGAAGTGGCAACAGATAGGAATCAATATACTGAGTATTTGGAAAAGCTTTTAGAGTTTGATTGTTAAACAGAAATAAAAATTAACACACTTTTTTTTAGTGCCAGTCCTAAGCCTTGAACTCAGGGGCCTGGGCATGGTCAGTGAGCTTTTCTGCTCGAGTTTGGCACTCTACCACTGGAGGTACAGCTCCATTTCCAGCTTTTTGGTGGTTCATTGGAGATAAGAATCTCATGGACTTTCCTGCCCAGGCTGACTTTGAACTGCAATACTCAGATTTCAGCCTGAATAAGTAGGATTACAAGTGTGAATTATGGATGCTGGCTAAAATAAACATGTTTTAATGAGAATAAATACTTAGTGGACTGTTAACTAACATTGGAAAATGCTGAGAGATTTATAGTAGCATTGTCTGAATTTTGCAACTCATCTAAGTAACTATGACAAGAATGAATACTGGAGTGAAGCTAACCAATGGGAGAAAAAGAATTTTTGAGTGCCATGATTTATTCAAGATAATTACTGTAATGATTTGAGCAAACTAGAGTGACTACATTTTTAGGCATTTTAGCTAAAGCTCTTCTGACTTGTAGAACTGAAGAATCTCATTAAAATATCAAGTTCTCTTGGGCCCAGATGGCTTACATCTGTACTATAAAGGATGTTGAGATCTGAAGGATCTCAGTTCAAAGATAGCCTGAGCAGAAAAGTCTGTGAGACTCCTATCTCCAGTTTACTAGAGAATGCCAGACACAAGGCAAGCTCACGTGGTGGAGTATCAGCCAAAAGCTAAGGGAA